ATATATATATAATATATTAGCAACAACAAAATCCCAATAAAACTTAACAATATTAAATTAAAATGTCATTAATTAAAGGAATATTATCATCAAACCATAATTAAGTAATTCATGCACTTTCATAAGTCGTAAATTCAAACTTGAGTTTATATCTTTATTGTAATATTTGAATAAATAAAAATAAATTAATTAATGTTCTTATCTCAATAGCCAGGTGTCAGACAAGCACAAAATTTTAAATATAAATAAACAAAATAAAAGGATGAGGAAGCTAGATGACTTCACTAAAACTAATATAATAATCAGAGCCGTTGACTTAAATCACATGGAACGGCAGACAAGAACGATGAATGTCTCCTGATGTTACCACGTGTCAATCGTACAACAATCCCATCACCATGTGACGTACATCGTTGCCACCGTAAGTCAAACGCACCAGATTCCTTTCATTTCAATTATAAATACGACCAAAAAAAGGCTGCCTGGAACTTAATTATGTTATTTTTGTTGGGGAAAATAATTTATCGAATATTCGTTGTCTTGTTAATAAATAGCTAAAATCTCTCAAAATATGGCATTGGCATTATCTGGTTCATTTAAAAATTATTATATTAAAATATTTTTTCTCCTCTATATTGTACTTTTAATACTTTATTTTTATTTTGTCTTCATTTGATTAAAATATAAATAAATAAAAAATCTTATTTTTTTATAGAAGAATGTCACGGGTATCTAATGTCCCATCACATTGTCTTAAATTTTTAACAGAAAAATAGCTATTAATATTATATTTATCAACTAATAAATATTTAATCAAACTTTTAGCTTTATATGGAAATTTGTCATCTAGTATATTTAAAAAAAATAAAAATAAAAACCTAAATGTTCGAAATTATTGAAAATAAAATAGAAGAATATTGGAATACAAAAAATAAAAAACTTTTTTTTGGCCTTATTTTTGTTTATGGATTGATTTAGAGCTTTGAATTATTATTTCAATTATGTGTTTGTCAAAAAATAATAATAATAATAATAATATTAAATGATGTATTTAGATCCAATAATGAATAAAAAAATATAATATTTTTTGGTTCGTCCTATATTTCTATATTCATAATATTTAGACGTAGATCTATAACTAAAATGATAGTTGTAATTGAATTAATTATAAAAAAACAAAATTATTAAATATACTGATCGCTATAGTTAAACAAAATTTTGAACCCATGGTTCTCGTAGTCACTTAATTCTTGACCTATGATGATATCAAATAGGTATAATTATAAATTTGATCCATTAATTTATATTTTTTAGGTCTATAAATTTATAATGCTATTATGAAACGGTGGTTCAGTTGTATAATTATATGGTCATAACAACTCAATTCAATTTTATTTAATTAATATGTATATTACACGTATATTTTCAATATATTATTAATATAAATGAATAAAAACATAATATGCAACCTCAACGAATCTTAATAATCGATTATTGATATTTTTTAATACTTTAAATGTATATTGTTAAAAGAGTACTTAATTATGTAAACCAAACTATAGGAACTAAAATTATAATTTAATAGCGATTTATCGTGGATTACTAAATTAAAAATATAAAAAAAAATCCCTTCAACGTGACCGTATAGGCTAGAGTAATTAAAGTAAGCATTTTTTATTTGGTAAATTTGTAAAACTATATATTTTGCAAAAGAGGAAATTAAATTAAAAAAATAACAAAAATTGTCAAATTAAATTGACATAAAACAGCGGCAGCCCCCTGCGAAATTCGTTAATTAACGAATTTAAACAAAATAAAAATAAAAATAAATGTGAAAATGAAGTGACTGCGGTAGACGACGTCGTATCGGATGTTATCTTGGTGGATATTTTGTGAGGACTAGGTCTTCGGTGGATTGCTGCCTGATGTCAACTTGCAAATTCATTAATACAAAAAAAATATATGTTGAAGTAACCCACAAGTTAATATTTGACACCTCCAATCGAATAAGATAAAATAATTAATTCATAATATATTTAATTAATTTTTATAATTTAAGAAATTAAAAAAAATTACAAAACAAAATTATTAGCATATTAATGTTTAAATCTACGATTTGACATTTTTTTGACATTTTTTGTCAAGTCAACCCAACCAACAAAAAAAAACAAGGTTACATTATAACCTAACTTTTCTAATTAATATTTGTATATGAAATTTTAGTTATTTTTTTTTAGAACACGACTCTCCACAATGGTATAAATAAGCTCTCATGGATTTGCTTTGGGCTTCCCAAAAAGCCTCATACTAATAGAGTTATTATTTCTCACTTATAAACCCATGATCATTCCTTAAATTAGCGGATGTCGGACTTTCATCATTCAACAAACTCAACCTATACAAAATTTCATATTAATTCAAAACATATTAGTCGAAAAAACACTTAAAAAAATCTAACTCTAATATTTAAAAATGGTATAAATATTTAAAGTTTCAACATAATTGGCGGAATAAAAAATTGGTCGCTATCACCAATCCTGATGCGACCCTTCAAAATTTGAGAGCCCCTTTGAACGCCACAATATTATAAATAACAGCCAACCAAGCCAAAACCCTCTCTCCAAATACATCAAATTGGTTGAACAAAGGCACGGAGCTACCGACGAAATCAAGGCCTCTGCTCATAAACCACCTTCCAGGTTCTTCTCCAATTTTTCCTTTTCTATTTATAAATTTAATTTTGATTTCTCCCTCGATCACATCCCCAACCTGTTTATTATTTATTCTTTATTTTTAAATAAAATAATCGATTAATTCTCACTTATCTTATTTTCGATTTTCTGCCTCCTCTTGTTTTCTTTTTAGTTTCTAAATTCTTTAAATTTGTTGTATGGGACAATTTTTTAGAACAATGTTAATCCTTATTATTATTTTTACTTCAAATTAAATAATCCAAAAACTCAATTAATTTATGAATGGTAATTTTAATATTTATAAAATTTGTCTAAAAAGAGTAAATTTTTCCGTAAAGGAAAAAAGAAAAAGAAAAAGAAAAGCTCACTAATTAAAGTTTCCATTATTAATTTTTAGGCCTAAAACTTTACAAAAGTTTTAGAAGAAAAAATAGAAACGAACAACCTTTTATTCAAGAATTAACCACAATTTTACTAAAAATCAAATAATAATAAAAATAGATTTCTTCCTCTGAAAAAAAACTATCAAAATTTTCAATAATAATCTTTAAATTAAAAAATATTAAAACATATTTTAGAATTAATTTTAGACATTTCAAGCTTTCAATTTTCATATTTTTTTTTTTTTTTTTTTTTTTTTTTTTACTTTGCAACTCAACCCATAACTCTATTTGGATTGTTCGGTCACCAATCCAACAAATCTCAAATTTCAAGTTGGTCTAAAAAATATTTTTCAACCGAACTGTGCATACCGGTNAAAAAAACTTAAAAAATATTTTTATTAGTTAGTACCACGTTTAGAAAATATTTATGAACTTTCAAAAGAGACACTAAATGTTTGAAGATGATCTATGATTATGAGTTTATAATAGAAGAATACTCTCTCCATAGTAGTAGGTTGGAAAGGCCCGAAGCAAAGTCACGAGAGGTTAGCTCAAAGTGGACAATATCATACCATTGTGGAGAGTCGTATTTATTTAACAAAATTTAAGAGTGTTAACACTATCTTTAAAATTATATTTCAAAGTTCAGAGTAGTCGCAGTCAATCAATCTCTAGCAAATTAAATAAGGGACAATAAAATGGTGCATTTTTTCTAACATGAGGGCCATCCTAATAACCATATCAGCCAGGTGACAAGTTCACAACAGTTGTCTCCCTCATCCTCCACTCTCCTTTTATATATATATATATAATAATTTTTTTAAAAGAATTTTTAAATCTTTTATCCGTAATATTTTAGCTCATCCAGTTATACAATGAAATTAAAAATTAAAAAAAAGGTGGAAAAAGCAGATCATGTGCCTGGCCCAGACTTGGCTTCTCAAGTGGAAGAACGAGGAAAGGTGGTGTGACAGAAAGTACAAATATTATGTCTTACAAAAATGCAACGTAATTATTGAGTCTACGGGAATTTAAAGTTTGTTTTGTAGTTCAAAAATATATAAATAAATAATTTCAAGTAAATGAGAGGTTAAATTAAAATATATATATATATATATTTAAAATTTTTATACAGAATCTAAAAAAATTACTCTTTTATGAACACGACATTAATTTTAATTTTTATTTTTTATCATTGATATATCGATTAAAACTGTCTATCAACTCTTAAAGCTTTTATGTTATTTTTTAAAATTCACAATTACTTTTAAAACGGGATTTGATTGTTAGGAGTAATTTTGAATTTTTAAAAAATGTTTAAAGTAGAGTTTTTGAAATTTGTAATGATAAATTTTAAAGATATTTTTTAAACCAAAAAAATATATAATTTTATTTAAAATTAAAATATTTTTTCTAGATATTTAAAATTTTAAAAGTATTATTAAAACTAATATAAAATATATCTAGTTGAAAAATACAGATATATATTATTTAAATATAAAAACGTGAAAACAAAATTAATAGTTAATAAATAATAAAATAACACACGCTTTAAGTGGAGGCCGAGGGGTGACCGGAATATTACCCGCCATCTGCCGTCCATGTGTGGGCCCACCATTAAAAAAAATTAAATATAGATGATATATTATTATTTATTTATTAAATATAGTTAGTATTATGATCGAGATCATTAATGAAACTAAGACTATTTTTTGTATCCTTATCAAGGTCTCTTAGCCTATAACTATTTATGAGATAAAACATTTAAATATCCATGAAAAAAAATAAAAAAAATGTTTGAATTAATTATTTTAAATTTTAAAAAAAAATACAGATTTAAGACTTTTTTTATTTTATTTTATAATTTTATTATATAATAAAGAAAATAATTGTGGATAATTGTAATAATTAATAGTAAATTACAGTTATTGCACAATATTTGTGTATAATTAATGAAAAGTATCTGAAAAATTAATAGCAAATTACAGTTCTTTCACAAATATTTGTGTATAATTAATAAAGAGCACCAGAAAACGAGGTAGCCATACATCCACTCTCCCAACGCACAACGACCGAATTAACATTCGCTGCACATTCTTCTTCTTCTTCTTCTTCTTCTTCTTCTTCTTCTTCATTCGTCAACTACTCAAGCTCTTGCTTCGTGATTCTCTCTATTTCTCTGTTCTTAGTTTTGTAGCTAGCTATCTCATCAGATGAAGCATAATTCCAAGAATCAGCCTCAGGTACTTGACTCTTTTCTTGTCGTTTGTTTGATTTTTTTGTTGATTCGAAAAGATGAGGGAATTTGCAGAGAAAATGTGCTGAATTATGTTGTTTTGGTTGCTCGTTCCTACAGCTTTTCTGGCCAAGAGTGGTCCTGCGGAAATGGCTGAATATCAGTGCTAAAGAGTCGGATTACAGTGCCGATACCGAAGACGATGAGGATGTTAATTCGTCCGATTCTGAGACTGAAGGTGATGTCTCTAATCTCTTGAAATTTGTTAGAGTTTGTAAAGTTATTGGATGCTTGAAATCCACGTTTGGCGTGGATGTTTAGGTAGCGAAAATGCAATGTATTCTTGGTTTGGTGGTTTCCGTGCTTGAAATCAGAATTTTATCGAATCTTCGCGAGTTTATTGCAATACATTGAGCTATTTTAGGAATGCCGTGTGTTCTGATTTTATTATTTGGTTGCTTGTAGCAGAATGCAATAGGGGAAGAGAATCACGCTTTAAGGTAGACAACAGAGATGAACCACTGGTTGATGCTAATGGTAAATTTTGAAGCACATTAGTTTGCCAATTATTTCCCTCTTTACAAATTATAACCAATGCAACCTCTACCAAAAGATTGAAATTAGAAGAATCTGATGGGAATATGTAGTTTAACTTACTTGAGGTGATTGAGATAGAAATGGATCACAGATGGAGTGTGCAAAGAAAATTTAATGCAACATATTCTCTCTATATACTGAAATTTAAAATTGATATTTCTCCAAATTTATGACATAAATTCATACATATTTTTAAAATTTCAATTTGATAATCTTCAAAGTAAATGGCCTTTTCTGGGTGTTCGAGTGTTTGGACACCCCGTTCCTTCTATCCAATTACTGTCAGATTTCAGCAGATACATACCTTTCTTTTTTACTACAACTTCTCATCATATGTTATGCTTTTCTCATCTGTATAAATTGCAGACAAAATTGTGTGTGTGTGTGTGTGTGTAGGTGACTATTTTTAGCTCGTAAAGAAACTCTTCGTTTTCTTTTTTTCAATTAATTTACTCATTAAATTGCTCGAAACTTTAGATGGGCTGCCGAGGTTGAGAAGAAGAAATTCAGAAACATTTAGGATGCAATATATAAACGCGAAAGATCTCAGGTATGATCGACCATTTGAATATTGTAGTAATCTGGAAATATCTGATTATTATTTTTTTCTGTTGAGTTGAGCTATCTACTTTATCTTGTGTCAGAATATGTGTTGCGACTTGGAATGTTGGAGGAAAACTACCTCCTGAAGATCTGGATATTGATGGCTGGATAGATACCAGTGAGCCAGCTGATATCTATGTCCTTGGGTGAGTACTTTTTATTATTATTTCTTCATTTAATTGACGCTATCTTGAATTATATCTATTGCACTAATTAAGCAAAAAAAAAAAAAAAAAAAAAAAAAAAAAAAAAAAAAAAAAAAAAAAAAAAAAAAAAAAA